CCCCACCCCGCCCTGTAAGAATTCGACTGGCAGGCGGGTGAGGCTGCACCCCAGGGATGGGCTGTTGGAGAGCTAAATAATGACAGCAGGATGGGCCCCCCCAGAGCTCTGGGCACGCAGCGGGGGCACCTGGGGCACCAGGCGCTGCACCCCCAAGCTCTGGGCACGCAGCGAGGGCACCGCCGCCCCCAGAGCTCTGGGCAGGCAGCGAGGGCCTCAGGGGCACTGCGCCCCCCCGAGCTCTGGGCACGCAATGAAGGCACCTGTGGCACCGCCCCCCCAGAGCTCTGGGCATGCAGCGTGGGCACCCAGGGCACTGCCCCCCCAGAGCTCTGGGCACGGAGCGAGGGCACCTCGGGCACCGCCTCCCCAGAGCTCTGGGCACGCAGCGAGGGCACCTGGGGCACTGCCCCCCCAGAGCTCTGGGCACGCAGTGAGGGCACCTGGGGCACCGCCGCCCCCAGAGCTCTGGGCACGCAGCGAGGGCGCAGGGGCACTGCGCCCCCCCCGAGCTCTGGCCACGCAGCGAGGGCGCCAGGGGCACCAGGCCCTGCACCCCCCAGCTCTGGGCACGCAGCAGGGGAGGCCTCGGTTACATTGGTGTCTCCATTGTTCTAAGCCGAAGGCGAGCACAGAGCTGAAGTGATTTGCCCGAGGCTATGCAGCAAGTCAGTGGCAGGGTGGGAACCCAGGCGTCCTGACTCCCAGCCCTGCCTTCCCGCTCTGACCACTAGACCCCGCTCTCCTCCCAGAGCACAGCTCAGCAGCTCACCGAACTGGGGCTGGGGGCTGCAGTTCTGAAGCAACACCTCCCTCAGCCAGAGGCCAATTCTGCCGGGAAGCGGGGGGGGCGAACCAGGGCCCCCATCCCCCCATCCCAGAGTCGGACACAACGGGGGAACCCATCTCCCAAGACCCCTGCAGAGCGAACAAAGCTGCTAGACCAAACCCATTCACCAGCTCGTTCTACAAGGCCAGAGAACACAGCAAGTGAAGCATCACGGGACACCTGAGGGGAACCCAGGAGTCCAAGTCAAGTCCAACACAGCCCCAGAGGAGGGAGGGACAGGTAGATTTTAAGGCCAGAAAGCCCTGCTGTGAATCTAATCTGAGCCCCTGGACACCCCGGGCCATAGATCGGCCGGAGGTGATACCTGCCCGATCCCGTCTCGGAGTGACCATTTCCGGGGGCGGGCTGGGGGAGTCGTGCCTCCCGGTGAGATACCTCCACCTCCTGTCCAGTCTGCTTCAACGGCCAGCACCGGGATCTTCTCACACCCACCCAGAGTGAAGAGCCCTGTTATCAAACTGCTGGTACTGAGAGAGAGACGGGGGAGGGGGGGTGGACAGAGCTAAAAAGAGGGGTGTGAATGGAGAGAGAGGCAGGTGTGAACAGAGACAGACAGAGCAAGAGGGGTGTGAATGGAGGACAGGGCTGGAGAGGGGTGTGATTTGAGCCTAGAGGGAGTGTGACTGGAGAGAGAGGCAAGTGTGAACAGGCGCAGACAGAGCTAGAATGAGGGGAGAGGTGTGAACTCAGGAGGGGCTAGGGGTGTGAATAGGGAAGATATAGAAGGGTGTGAATTGGGATCTACAGCGAGTGAGGCGATTGGGGATAGATAGAGAGGGCTGTGACAGGGTAGATCCTGTCTTCTGCTACTGACCATGAAACCTCGGAGGGGAAGGTGTAGGGTCAATTTACCTCAGAAACGCTCAGGGGCCCCTGCCCCACCCGGACGGCTGCGCCCCCACAGGGGCAGACGCCCCCAGCTGCGCCCGCTGGCGCTGCTGTCCCTACTCAGCGTCGGCGCAGCGGGCGAACCAGGCCGGCGGGGGCTGGACGTCACGCGCTCTACCGGGAGCCCCCGCCATTCGCGACGGCATTTTAACAGCTGCCAAGATGCTCGGGCACGAGGCACCATCCGCTCTCGTCCCCCGCGGCGCAGCACGGGGCACCGGCAGCCAGATCCCGTGCGGGTTACAGAGGCCGGGGCTTTGCCTCAGGGGGGCGGGTAATGCCTAATCCAGAGGCACAGGGGGTGGAGGGAGCACACGGGGGGGCCAGTAGCCCGAGGGGACGGGGCCCCGCTTCAGCCTGAGCCTCGCTGTGGGGAAATCCCTTCCCCGGGTGCCCGGGGCTGGCGTCCCGTGGGCAGGGGGCCAGAGGGGGGCAACTCAAGACAATCCGCATCCCGGAGATCCTGGCCTGCTAGACTAATGGGCCCCTCCCCCAGGTGGTAGAAGAGAGGCGCTGGTGCCCCCAACCCCCTTCTGCCCCCCGCAGAGAGACCGGCCCCACAGTTCCCACACGCCACGGGCGGGTCAGCCCAGCTCCTGGCCCCGCAGCCCCCGGGGGCCGGGTGGGGAGGGGCAAACAGAAAGCCTGCTCCCTGGGCTGTGAAACGAGGGGTGAAGGGACACAGGCCTGATCCCCCCGGGTTAGGGCCCATGGGGTTGGCACTGCCAGCTCCCCCCACACCCAACACACCCGGTGCCCCACAGCAGGTAGGCGCTAAATGAGCCCAGCCTCCACCATGTCACTCAGCAGGTTTTGTTTGCCAGGTCTGCACCCGTGGGTGCTGGGAAGGGAGTGCCGGGGCTGAGCGGACAATGCCCAGACATCACTGAGGGAGCACTCGTGGGCACTGGGGAGATGAGGGGGTGTGGCAGTACTGGAGGGGGGAAATGCATGAGTCTGGGGAATTGGGGTCCTGTGTGTGTGACACATGTGCATGTGTTGGGATCCTGTGTGCGCTGGGTTCCGTGTGCGTGTGTATTGGGGTCCTGTGTGCGCTGGGTTCCGTGTGTATTGGGTTCCGTGTGCACTGGGTTCCGTGCGCGTGTGTATTGGGGTCCTGTGTGCGCTGGGTTCCGTGTGCGCTGGGTTCCGTGTGCATTGGGGTTCCGTGTGCGCTGGGTTCCGTGTGTATTGGGGTTCTGTGTGCGCTGGGTTCCATGTGCGCTGGGTTCCGTGTGCGCTGGGTTCCGTGTGCCTGTGTATTGAGGTTCCGTGTGAGCATTTATTGGGGTTCCATGTGCGCTGGGTTCCTTGTGCATGTGTGTTGGGGTTCCATGTGCGCTGGGTTCCGTGTGCGTTGGTTCCATGTGCCCGCTGGGGTTCTGCGCGTGAGCGTCTGTTTGTATGTCAATGCTCTGTGCGTGCATGCGCGTGTTGAGCGTTAGTGTGCATGCACACGCGTGTGCGGGGCGGTTGCATGTGCGGATCTGCAAGCCTGACCTTTCTCTGTTTCATTTCATTTTGCGGGTTTGTTCTTTTTTTAAACCCACCCAAGCCGTGTGCAGGGGGCGGCTGGCAGCCTGCCCTCTCCATGCCCTGAGTGGCGTGTCAGCGAGCTTGCGGTCCTACCAACCCCGAGCACACAGACGCTGTCCTGGCGCACGCACCCAAACCAGGGGGAAATGGCCTCCTGGCAAGATCAGATCACGGGGGATATAAATACAAACCACTCGGGAGACAGGAGCTTGCAAATTTGCTAAGAACCAGCAGGGCTAAAGCCCGGATCCTGCTCAGGTCTGCCTGTGTCCCTTTCTGCTCTCTGAAGACGAGACAGCGAGAGAGAGCTGGGGAAGTTTGGATGCTGAGACCCAAGGAAAGAAGACAAGGAAAGAGAGGAGGAAAAGACAGAGAGAGACAAGAGGAAAGAGAGAAAAGGTCAGAGAAAGAAAGACAGAGAAAAACAGAAGAGAAAGAAAAATAGAAAGAGGGAAAGTCACAGAAGGAAAGAGAGAGGGAAATAGGAGAGAAAGCCAATAGAAGACAGAAGGGGAAAAGTAAGAGAAAGAGGAGGAGGAAATTCTGGTCGACCTCTTCATTACAAGTTAGTTGAGCAAAATGTAAACACAGAATCACACTCCACCAACCAGTTTGGATTTCAAAGTCTGCAGCAAATTGGGCGTATCTGGGCAAAGGCTAAAAATGAACCAGGCACTTCTGTTTCAATTGGAAAGAAAACAAAACAAAACAAAAAAATCGCAAAAGGAGGAACTGAAAAACAAACCATCCCGCCCCCAAAGAAACACACACTTTCAAAAAAAAAAAATATAATAAAACGGAGACAGAGGGGAAAATCTGAAAGACGTACAAGTGTCTGGGGTAGGAACAAATGACAAGAGGGTTTGAAAAGAACCGATTAACTAACCCTCCAAGAGAGAGAGAACCGGCTTCCTGCCTGGGACAGTGCCCACTGAAATTGCAGGATTATTTCCACCGCCACACAGTGAAAAAGTGCCCAGCGCTGCCGAGTTGTATGTTCTGTGGTTCTCATGCCATCGGCACAAACCCCCAAAACCCAGCCGACAAAAGAAAACAACAAAATCCAGACGGGTTTTCGGTGACCATCAAAGCGAAAGGGAAAGGAAAAATCCCCTCTGAATGAAATCGCGTTGCTTTCCCTCCCACATCCTGAGTCCTTTCTCTTCCCGTTTTTTTTTTTTTTTAAGTTGCCGTTTGCACAGTTGTGGGCATTTCACAGGCGCGTGTGCACAAGCACACACTCCCGTGCAAAACAGGGGGCTTTTCACCAGGGATCGTGCGTATGAAGACGAGGGCAAGCTACCAACCACCCCAGATTGCCCAGACTCTTGAGGGTGCTGATGCCGAGGGTACATTTGCACGATAAACAACAGAGGCCAATTTGTTAATTACGGAGACAAAGGTTCAAGGAGGGAATTAAAAAAAAAAAAAAAAAAAAAAAAGAAAGAAACAGCTCGATCCCTTGAACAATTCAATCTCAAAACAAGCAGCAGTGATGGGGGACGGCTGTTAAGGGGGTGGGGGTCATTGGACTTACCAGGAGTGTGAACAAAATACGCCAAGTAAAGATCCAGTTCTTTAATTGTGACTCCAATGTGGTGCGGCTGGACGCAGAGGCCGGGGTTGGAGCACTGTGGCGATTTGTACAACCGCTCCCCGTCAGTACTTTCGAGCGGGATCCCTTTGAATAAGATGACCATTACAAGATCCAGTCTCCAAACCTTGTCGGCCTGCCTCAGGCAGTCAATCCTGCGGATTTTGCCCTTCTGGTCCGGGTTGGAGAGGACGCAGCAGGGGGCTTTCTTACCGGTGATGGTCAGGACAAAATCCTCCCGGAACTCGGGACGGATGTCTTTGCGGAGTTTGGCCAGTAACCGCGATGCCCATTTCTGCTTGATCTCCGGTTTTTCCCCCAACAGCTCGTCCTTCACGGCGCGCTCCTCGTCCTTGGACATCCGCTTCTCGTGCTTCTTGAAGTACTTTCGCTTCCGAGCTTGCAGGTTGAACCATGTGTAGGAGAAGGCACGCACATGAGGGAGGAGAGCTTCGATGAAAGGGTGGAATTCATCCTGGGGGGAGGTGGAAGAGGGTGAAAAGAGGGAACGAGACAAAAGGGGGGGGGAAGGTTAGAACGAGAAAACAGAGGAATGCAATTTTTTTTTAAAAACCACAACCTTCCCGACCAGTCGCGTCGGCCGATCCCGAGAACAGAGCCGGCGCGGAGAACCGAGTTCAGAGCCACACAACACAAGACCAGCCCGGAAGAGAATCCACCTCAGTTGGGACAGTGGTGGGTGTTCATTTTTTAAATCTTTTCCGTCTTCTGCCTTCCCCTCCCCAGCTGCAAAATAAATTTCACAAAGGCCAAAGAAAATTCACCATCAGCACTAGAAACTCGAGGTTTCGCTACTTTTTCACTAATAACCACGATAAAGTTTGCCTTGGCAAGACCGGGGTTAAAGACAAAATTGGCCTCCGGCCCCATCCTTGGGTGCCCCCCCCATACCCCAATTCTCGGGTTAACCTCTTTGCCAGCAGGTGTGTGTGGGGGGGTGTTATTTGGAAGATCTGCTCTTCCTAAAGCTGCCTCCCCTCAAACAAAACCTGACAAAAAGCAAAATAATTACCATTAC